AAAAAGAGAAAGAATAAAAGTGTCATTCAGCACAATTGTAACCTAGTTTACACACTGCACGTCACGACTAACAAAGTTCCCATTCAATATAGCCACAAATCAGCACTGCATCACCACCAATGTTCAATGCAAATATTTATTTCACACACTTGGACAAAAGTACAAGGTATGCCAGCAAAACCATTCAACCTGAAAAGTAGGAACATGGAACTCTAACAATATATTACCAGCATATTTTTAGCAATGTACAGTGAAAATTGTATTCGTTTTACCAGACTGCATCTTTTATGCTCAAAATACTTTAGTCTAAAATATATATATATATATATATATATATATATATATATATATATATATATATATATATATATATATATATATATAACACAAGATCCAGCGCACTCACCTATCCACTAAATGGCAACTTCAATGTTGAAAGATTTTATTATTAGTTTTTTTTTTTTTAAAAACACCTAATCTAGGCAAAAATAATGGGGGTTTAGTTACATTATATGATCATACATTGCATAAGCCTGTGGCAGGCTTATGCAATGTATGATCATATAATGTAACTAAACCCCCATTATTTTTGCCTAGATTAGGTGTTTTTAAAAAAAAAAACTAATAATAAAATCTTTCAACATTGAAGTTGCTGTTTAGTGGATAGGTGAGTGCGCTGGATCTTGTGTTTTGTATTATTTGGCCCCCAGCAGCACCCCCATTTATGCATGTTCAGGTGAGTGCAGCCAACCCCCTTGTTTCATATGTATGTGTATATATATATATATATATATATATATATATATATATATATATATATATATATATATATATATATATATATATATATATATATATATATATATATATATATATATATATATATACACACACACACACACACACACACACACACACACACGTCTCAACATTTACATTGCAGGGTTACGACAGTCACTTAAGCCGTTTCTTCAATTCACACGGAGTTTAACTCTGTGAGGCGACGCTGGACGTCCGCACACTTTGCATGAGAACATCCAGTGTCTTGAAAATCCCTATAGGAAAGCATTTAGTCGATGCTTTTCTATTAAAAAGGCATAATGTGCGGCTGCAGTTGCCTCGCATGTGCAGTAGGTACCCGCATCACCATGATGTCAGAGAAGGCAAAGAGACCTTGGCGCTAAAATCAGGCAAGTGAAAAAAGGGTTTTATAACCCTTTATTCGACTATAGTGTTAGAAATACAGTTTTGCATTCCTAACACTATAGAGTTCCTTTAAGGACCGCTTGACGGTTTATGCCATCATGCATAGGACATACACCAGTTGATGACACTGTCAAAATAGTCCAACGTACTAGTTTGGTTAAATCCTTGGTTAAATCCTCTTCTGTGTGCTGGAAAATCCCTTTGCTGAAGTCACCAGAGGAAATCCCTCTGATGTGGGATTATAGAATTTGACTAGAGAATGGGATTATGGGTAAGATTAAGGAAAAAGTGGGGTATCCTTATAATTGATAACAGTAGCAGAATACGTATGGGGCGTTTACAATAGTGGGACACACATGGCATATGAATTTCCAGAAAATAAAACATGTGTGAAAAAAGCCCACAAAGAATTTTTACCTAAATGCGTGATAAAAGTGTTGAATAAAAAGTTTTAAAATTCTCTAAGTAAAATAGCCGGGGTGTACTTTCTGCAAATACGCTTTTGTTGCGTTTTTTGGATTCTGTGACTAGTATAAAAGTTGTAAACTCAGCAGGTCAAATTTTCCAAAGTATTACCTTTAAAAACTAATTCACTCCTTGCAAAATTTGTTTTATAACTTCTATTAAAAAAAATCCTATCCTCAGGACTAAATTTTCCTTAGTTGCTCTTAGTGTGTAGAAATTATTGAATGTAAAACTGAGAAAAATTGTTTTGTTTTGGTTTTTTTTCAAATATTTCATTCATATTGAATATTGTGTTGTGTATACATATAGGGTATCCAAAGAAAGCCCTACTTCTCCTTTAAAAAAGATATATGATGTGTGGGTGCACTTAAACAGAAAGGGTGAAGTTATGGTAGAATGAATGCATGACAAAAGTTGCTAACAAATGTGTCACATCCCAAAAAAGCATTGGTCCTCAAGAGGTGTAAGTATACAAAAACTGAAAAAACAAGTGGCAGCCATCCTGTTCAGACGCCATCTAAAACTGCTCTCCCGAACCCGGAGAGAATCTGTCAAATATCCATCAAACAAAGCCCCATCGAACCCCGACAAGCACCGCACTGATTGATGCCTTTTTTCCCAGGCACCCAAGCAGATCAGGCAGAGGCGCAAACTTGCGGCCTACCATGCGACTCCAATCCAAGACCCAGAGGCCTACCTCGGCGGAAGCCTCTTGGAATACTACCCATCCAGCCAGGACACAGGCGCCACAGCCATGGGCCGCCGCTCACACAAAGCCACAGCTGGCCCCAACACACAAGGCAGAGACATAGGGGAGATGTGGCTCAGGCCCGCACAATCTGAGCCAGTACACACCACGCAACGACCCCCAGCGGACCGAGCACCCGAACCCGACGAGGAGGAGCCGGTCGAAATGGCGGCCTCCCCGACGGGACACCCACTGACACCGGAATCCCAGGATGATTCAGCCCCCGCTACTAAAGGGGACCTAAAAGCCCTCCTGAACAACATACAATAATTGCTAGCGGCTGAAGTCGCAACGGTCAAGGTTGACAAACAAAGTGTGCAAGAAAGGGTTGGAGCTGCAGAGGCAGACATCACCAACATTCAGGATGCAGTGTCCACCCTCAAGGACTCGGTCAACCGACTCCAAGCAGAGCAAAACGTTCTGGCAGGTCAAATGCCGGAAGCATATCAAAATCAGGGGTGTCCCCACCACTGTAACGACTGAGGAGCTACCGCACTATAAGCGGAGACTGCTCACAACACTGCTACCCCAGGCATCAGCCAAGAAAATATCAAGTCGACGGGATATAAAGAGTGACAAGCTCCACACACTTACCATCCAGCATGCCCAGAGACGTCATTCTACGCCTGGCATCAGTGCCTGACAAGATACAAATAATGACCGCCATTAAAGGCAAAAGCCGCCGGCATTCGAAGGCACTCAGCTCTCCTCCTTCCAGGATGTCACTAGAGCCACACTGTTAAAGCGGAAGACCTTTGGACCCGTGACCACCGCGCTGCGCAAAGCAGGCATCGCCTACAGATGGGGGAACACTGGCGCCCTGCTTGTCCGCCACAATGGAACTGTACACCACCTCACATCCCCAACTGGGGCCCCCACCTTCCTAAGGGCACTGGGACTACAACCCCCACAACTCACCTCCACGACCGCAAGTCGATCGGAGAGCTGGGACCCAGAGGATGGCTCTACTCCCGGACAGTCAACACGGGATCTACAGACTCTGGTCACTTGACTAGGCACGGGGACTGAACCCAGGGACAATATGCAATGCACGGTCGAAACCGCCAAACGGAAATCCCAGACATCTCTTGACACAGATGGATAACTTTAATGACTTCTAACTCCAATGTTTAATTTTTCTCTTAAGCTGGGCCCACACATCCCACCCACACCGCTTACATTTCCCTGTGCTCCTCGCCTTTTACTTTTCCCTTACCCCACTTGGGTCTGTCCTTTCTGACCTTAATGCAACCGCAGTTACGGGGCCCCTACCCTCACAGGAAAGGCAGACAATCCCTCACGCACGATAGTACATTGGTGCTCACTATGATTACCGCCACTCTGCCCACCCCACACCACCCCCAGGGATAAGGGGCTAGATGAGATGCCACACAGGGTACGTCGCAAACCGGAGCGCCCTTCACACTTGTCATTCCAACCACCCTACTAGAAAGAGCTCCGCAGGCAAGTACACACAGGCATCCAGATCCACAAACCGAAACCCGCTTGCAACAATCATATACATGCTCCCACACACACTGACACATCGCAACCCGAACCAGGGAGCACCCACACACTCCCACACTTGTAGTACACCAGGGGAATAACGCACATAATACTGAACCTGATACAACCCTACAGACCCCAGGTATGCCACCCAACGTGATGGTTATATGAAAATGTGCTTACAACCTTGAAACATCAATGTTAACACTATTTTACTGTACCGCTTTAAATTATCATACCACTGTTTATATATGATGCTGTTAACTTGTCAAACCAAGCTCACATTATTAAAGAAAAAAAAAATAAATGATGTTAGATGTCCGGTTTACTTTATGGAAAATTTGCGGGGACCTACCTAGTTCTTTTCTTTTTATTATTTAGACTTAGTGTTTTGCGAATGCCCATGACAGCAAACATGAGATTGTTAGAATTATTATAATACTATTTATTCTGACCATGGATAATATTTATTAAACTGACAACAAATGACTTATTGAAACCTTTACTTTTTATTTCCCCTTTCTTTATCCACAAATGAATCCGAGCACTACACCTGCTGTATATTGATTTGCAATGATGCTAAGCCTGACACACCACTAGCTCAGCATCCCATGAAACCACAACTGTTGGGCCAGATGTTAACCATCACCATCTTCTCCAGCCAGGCTCCCTAGTGGCATGTTTTAATATCAATGAATATCTATTACATTTATCATATAAAGCCTATCAATTCAACCATCCGGTGTAGCAAAACTTAGTGATGGTATTATTTTATGTTCTAAATAATGGTCCTGTAGCAAAAGCTACTAATTATCCCAACAAAACACTTGCAGCCATTGCACAGCTCCTGCCCACTCCAGCCAGGTGATCCATGGCCTCCCACTTACCCTATATAAATATATACTGCGCACCCACGCCGGTAGCTCAGCTCACAACAAGCATGTGGTACCCCGGAAGTCGCTGACCTTTTCACGTACTCCCTCCACCCCTGGCTTCACTGACGTCATCACGCCGCGGCCGCCCCGTTGGGAAGACGCGCGGCCGTTGCTAGGAGACGCTGTGCTGTCTTAGTTACAGACGCCCTCGGAGCTGGGAGACTGTAATCAGCCAAACACCAGGAGGGAGTTCAACTGAGTGCGTCTGCCTACCTACCAAGCAAGCAAGCAAGCAAGCAAGCAAGCAAGAACTTACCGCCCCCGGGGAGACATGAAGCGCAAGTGTATCTGCGAGATCTGCACCTGCGGGTAGGAAACAGCACCAGGAGGAGGGTCTGTGTAACGATGGGGAGCTGCCAGACTATATGAATTAGTATTAGCTGTCAATGGGAAATATAGTGACTATAGCTACAGGGGGGAGTTATAATCAAATGGCAAAATGTAGGCTGAAGGAAGTCAACTGAAAAAAATAAACAAAGAATACAAAATTCCAGTTTAGCTATATTGGCCTCAATTTTAAATTTGTAGCCATTCATACCCATTGTACAGCGCTACAGAATCTGTTGGTGCTTTATAAACAAAAATTATTATTAAAATTTAATATTACTTGGGTGAATAAGCTTGGTATATTTTTATATATATATAATATCACATTGAACAGCGTTGCAGAATTTGTTGGCGCTTTATTAAAAATATATAATAATACTTGAGTGAATAAGCTTGGTATAACAAATTCCAGCGCTGTGGAATTTGTCGGTGCTTTTTAAATTATAAGTTATACTGTATAGAGAGAGCTTGCATCGTCAAAATAATAGTGTATTTAAAAAAATTGGGAATTGACCAGGGAATTGTAAAGTTGAGACCAACAGTTGGAGATTTTATTTATTTATTTTTTTTCCAGCTTGGTAATTCTGTTTTAAAATTTGCAGTTCCTTTTGCAGGATTATTTGCTAGCTAGACTTTGAAATGTTAGACCAAAATTCTGCTGCTGTAGCATTTCTGATTTTGTGAGTAAGCCCCATAGTCACAACTTTTCTTTATAATTAATTTAGATAATGGTTTTTAAACATGTGCAGTTTGTTTCGGACAAATTATTAAATTCCTTTAAAAGTGGCAAAGAACTGAAAACTAATGAATTTGGAAAGAATAAGAATAAAACAAAATGTTGGATACATTAGTTTTCACAAGGATCGCAAATTAGAGACTTATCAATAGTGATGTCCCGAACGGTTCGCCACGGGCAGCGAACATATGCGCTGTTCGGTCCGCCCCCTATGTCAGCATTGAGTAAACCTTGACCCTGTACCTCACAGTCAGCAGACACTCAGCAGCAGACCCTCCCTCCCACCTCCTGGACAGCATCCATTTTACATTCATTGTGAAACTGCATTCTTAGTGAGCTGTCCAGGAGGTGGGAGGGTCTGGGAGGGAGGGTCTGCTGCTGATTGGCTGGAATGTGTCTGCAGACTGTGAGGTACAGGGTCAAAGTTTACTCAATGATGACGAATAGGGGGCGGACCGAACAGCGCATATGTTCGCCATCCGTGGCGAACCGTTCGGCGAACTGTTCGGGACATCACTACTTATCAATTATAAAGCTATTGTTTCTGTAAAATTTTGTAATTTTCTAATTTATTGTAAAATGTCTCCCTTTTAATAATATTGTAAAGCACTGCAGAATTAGTTAGAGCTTAATAAATAATAATAATATGAATCTTAAACAGAAAAATTAAGAAAAAATATTGTTTTCTTAATTTTGACCCTTCAGCTGTTTAGTAGATAGTTCACTAATTTGGAATCTTTATGTGGGATTGCCATAATTAAGGGTACTAAATAAGGGACTTGTATACTAAGCAATTGAAAAAGCACAATTAAGAAAAAAACATTTTTCTTAGGGGGACACTATAGTAACCAGAACAACTATAGCTTATTGTATTTGTTCTGATGTGAATAATCATTCCCTTGAGCCATGTTGCAGTAAACACTATATTTTAAGAGAAAGGGCAGTGTTTACATTGCAGCCTAGGAACAGCTCCAGCTGCCACTACTCAGATGGCTTCTAGAGGTGCTTCCTGGGTCAGTAGAGATTCTGAACTTTCCTCATAGAAATGCGTTTGGCCCAGGCCCCAGCCACGCCCCCTTGATGATCTCAGCCAATCAAATTATTTTTCTTCAATTCTGATTGTCAGTCAAGAGGGCGGATCATGGGCTGGGCGAAGCTGGAAATAAGGCAAACCACCTAAATGGTAGTTTTAACACCATAGGGTCAGGAACACACATTTATGCACCAATTGCATAGAGAATTGGATTTATGCACCAAATGCATATAGAATCTTAGGCTTGTGTGTATGTGTCTTCACGTTTTAAAATGTTAAAAGTGCTGATTAAAGTAGAAGAACTAAAAGGTATGTAGGACCCAGTAACCGTCCTTCATAGTTTGTATACCCTCACCTCTCCCTAATTAAATAATTAGCAGCAGGTAAATTATCAGGTTGCTGATGCCTAGGAAAAAAAGCGTTTTGTTTGAACTGCTAGGGGCACGGCAGCAGTGAAACTTATCAGAGAAAAACTATTTTGTTTATTAGGTTGGAATAGTTAGGATCAATGAATGTTTAAAAGTTTGTTTGTAGTTTATAACTTGTTTTAGTTTCCTGAACACTGGCTCAAATTGAGAATTTCATGTGAACAATAATATGTGTTAAACATAATTCTTAATGTCAAGATATTATTTCATTAAATCATTTTACAGTTCATGTTTTTTAATGGACTACTCCCATGCATCTGGACAACTTTGATAAAAATTATACCTAGTGATAAAATGACTTATTCCATAAAAAATAAAATTGTCGAGTTTTTAAACAAACATGGGTTGTAGACTAGCTCCACCCCTCCAGTGGTGTAAACTGCAGAGTCATGGAACATTCTCATGGCTGCATAAGTCTATTCTAGGACAATTCTAACCATACAAAAAGACCAAGATCTCCATAGTCCGATATCTCACCAATAACCTACCTACACTTCAAAGGACAAGCTTTCTAACCATCAAGCAGACAGAAATGCAGTGGAATGTGCTTCACAGCTGGGTAGCATTGGAGTTGAATTTCCATCACGGAGGGCCAATATCCTGTAGGTTAGAGACTAGCCAGTGAGCCCCACAAGAAGGTTCTTTCTGCTCCTCCTTTATGGTCATTAGTGCCGCCAAGAACAACAGTATCACTACTCTCACACCCCATTGCATCTGATCTTTCCCATCCCAATTTCATACAACAGTATGCAAAAAGACCTCGTCACTTGTTTATATTGAAAAAATGCAAGGTCCAAACTTAAAGCGGCAGTGTCATGGCCTCATCCGTTCATATTTTTTTTTTTTTTTTAACCCAACTCCACTACATCCAATTGTCCCCCTAGTCAGTGGTGTATTCTGGTTTTGTGCTGCCCTAGGCATGACAAAAATCGGTCAGCCCCCCACCCCCTTGATAATTACTCTTCTTGACAGACACACACCCTCACTGATGCATACACTGACATGCAGTCATTGTCACACACACTGTTTAACTAATAGTCATGTGCAATTAGTTTCGTTCCGAACGTAAATTTGGACGAATTTCGTCAATTCGGACATTCCGAAGTCCTGAATTTCCGAAGTGCCATATTGCCGAAGTCCAGAATTTTGGAACTACCGAACCTCATTTTTTGCCCATGCACATCCCTATTAACTAGCACACACTTTTACTGAAACATGCACATTCACAGACATACCCACTCACTCATTCACAGTTACACTCACTGAGAGACACACACATTGACAGATGCACACTCAGTGTCAGACACACGCACACTAAGATACACCCTGACAAGCACACATACACACTCACTGACAGACATATATACACTCCATGTCAGACACACACACACACACTGAGAAACACATATACTCACCGACAGACATGTATACACTAGCTGACATACACATTCACTAATAGACAGACACGCATACACACACAGAAACACACTCTCAGTGACAGATACTCACTGACAAATACATATACACTCAGTGTCAGGTATACACATTCACTTGCAAACACACATATACTAGCTGACATACACATTCACTGACACACGCATACAGTTGCAAGAAAAAGTATGTGAACCCTTTGGAATGATATGGATTTCTGCACAAATTGGTCATAAAATGTGATCTGATCATCATCTAAGTCACAACAATAGACAATCACAGTCTGCTTAAACTAATAAAACACAAAGAATGAAATGTTGCCATGTTTTTATTGAACACACCATGTAAACATTCACAGTGCAGGTGGAAAAAGTATGTGAACCCTTGGATTTAATAACTGGTTGAACCTCCTTAGGCAGCAATAACTTCAACCAAACGTTTCCTGTAGTTGCAGATCAGACGTGCACAACGGTCAGGAGTAATTCTTGACCATTCCTCTTTACAGAACTGTTTCAGTTCAGCAATATTCTTGGGATGTCTGGTGTGAATCGCTTTCTTGAGGTCATGCCACAGCATCTCAATCGAGTTGAGGTCAGGACTCTCACTCGGCCACTTCAGAAGGCGTATTTTCTTCTGTTTAAGCCATTCTGTTGTTGATTTACTTCTATGCTCTGGGTCATTGTCCTGTTGCAACACCCATCTTCTGTTGAGCTTCAGCTGGTAGACAGATGGCCCTAAGTTCTCCTGTAAAATGTCTTGATATACTTGGGAATTCATTTTTCCTTCGATGATAGCAATCCATCCAGGCCCTGACGCAGCAAAGCAGCCCCAAACCATGATGCCCCCACCACCATACTTCACAGTTGGGATGAGGTTTTGATGTTGCCGTTCTTCCAAACAACTCAACTTTGGTTTCATCTGTCCACAGAATATTTTGCCAGTATTGCTGTGGAACATCCAGGTGCTCTTGTGCAAACTGTAAACGTGCAGCAATGTTTTGTTTGGACAGCAGTGGCTTCCTCTGTGGTATTCTCTCATGAAATCCATTCTTGTTTAGTGTTTTACGTATTGTAGATTCGCCAACAGGGATGTTAGCATTTGCCAGTGACCTGTGTCTTTAGCTGACACTCTAGGATTCTTCTTCACCTCACTGAGCAGTCTGCGCTGTGCTCTTCCAGTCATCTTTACAGGACGGCCACTCCTAGTGAGAGTAGCAGCAGTGCTGAACTTTCTCCATTTATAGACAATTTGTCTTACAGTGGACTGATGGACAGCAAGGCTTTTGGAGATACTTTTATAACCCTTTCCATCTTTATGCAAGTCAACAATCTTAATCGTAGGCCTTCTGAGAGCTCTTTTGTGCGAGGCATCATTCACATCAGGCAATGCTTCTTGTGAAAAGCAAACCCAGAACTGGTGTGTGTTTTCTTATAGGGCAGGGCAGCTGTAACCAACACCTCCAATCTCATCTCATTGATTGGACTCCAGTTGGCTGACATCTAACTCCAATTAGCTCTTGGAGATGTCATTAGTCTAGGGGTTCACATACTTTTTCCACCTGCACTGTGAATGTTTACATGGTGTGTTCAATAAAAAACATGGCAACATTTCATTCTTTGTGTGTTTATTAGCTTTGAGCAGACTGTGATTGTCCATTGTTGTGACTTAGAAGATGATCAGATCACATTTGCAGAAATCCATATCATTCCAAAGGGTTCACATAATTTTTCTTGCAACTGTATAAACACTCTCAGTGACAGACACATATAATCTCACTAACAGACACGCATACTAACACACACACTTTTTTTTTTTTTTTTTAAGTGCTGGAGTGGCTTATTCCCTGGAGTGGCTTATTCCCTGGGGTCCAGTGGAACTGGCTGCAGCACTGCTGGTAGTGCATGCAGGCTCACATTGGAGAGAATTCTGATGCTCCCTTGTGCGCCTCTTAGTACCAGGGCTGCAGTGATATCATATTTTGGCTGAGACATCACTGCGGGGTACGCGAGGGAGCTGAGCAGGAAGAGCTCAGGGGACAGTGCTCCCTTGCAGCCCGCCTCATTCATAAGCAGATGCCAGCGTGGGAGTGGAAGTGCCAGCTTTTGGGCCACACAGGACAAGAGGCTGACAAGGCACCTGCCGGGGCATTTGGGGGGATAGTGTTTTTTTGCCGCCACCATGAAAGTGCCACCTAAGGCAAATGCCTTGTCAGCCTCGCACTAAATACAGCGCTGCCCCTAGTCACCCCCAAATGCCCCTAGGTCCCCCTGTTTTTCACCTGTTTATACATCCCAACGTGCAAAAATGCATTTCAGGGAGGTGGCTACACCAGCCACCACCCCCCACCGCACGCCACCCCGCGCATCCCCCCCATAGCCACCAGACATGTATGAAGACTTTGACACACACATAAACGCACTATTATATACACACAATCAGATATACTTTTACACATAGATACACACACTGGCGCATACACTCAGATACACACTGACATAGACAGATACAGACACTAGCACATACACTCAGATACACATGCTGGCACACGCACACATACAAACACTGATACATACACTCAGATACACACACTGGCACATACATTTAGATGCACACTGACACTGGAACTTACTACTGGCATACACACAATTTGACACGTCATACTTTATATATTTGCAGAAACCCTCCTGTATGGATAACTTTGTGTCCAGAAGGGTGGCTTGATTGTGGTGCAGGTCCTGACTGAGGCTGATGGGAGTGAGCTGCTACTGCATGCAGCCTCTCCTCTGTGTGCTCCAGCCCCTCCTCTCTCCATTCCTGTGTGCCTCTGTTACCTGCTGCCTCCTCTGTCCATGCCTCCTGGGCAGGCTGTTTACTGTAAAGCTGGGAGGAAGTGGCTGTCACTTCCTCCATGCCAGGTTATATCACATGGGCTCGGTTGGCTCTTAAAAGGGTTGGCACCTGACCGGGCCCCCTGTTTAGCAATAATTATAGGTGGGGGGAAGAGGGGTGCAAATCATATGAAATACAATGGAAATCACACACACACCTCAGATTGTGTGTGATTTGCGAGATATTACATGTGATTTGCATGTATCAGGGAGCCCCATTCAAAATGCAGGAATCTTCAGGAACTACCGGGAGACTTGGGATGTCTGCCTGTTGATTTTTTTTTTTGCCCAGACCTAGGTCTTAGGTGCTGCCATCTTTGTGTGGGCAGATGAAAGACCTGTGGGACATTTCATCTGCCCACACTAGATAGTGCTCCCTGCCACTCTCTAACCCACTCCAACCCCTCACTCTGTAGCAGTCAACATGATCCCCATATTCGCATAAGGGAGATTAAAATCTTACTCCCTATGCTGCAAGTATGGGGCATGTCTACTAAATAGTGAGCAGTCATTGAGGTGGTCTTTTTTTTTTTTTTTTTTCACTTTGCAACAGCGAGTAGGGGCGTTAGGGAGATTTTAAATTCCCTAATTTACTAAGTAATTATTATGTAGTATTAGTAAAGTAGCCTGAAAGATCAATTTTGGTCATTCAGCTTTAGTAGATAGCTCCCTAATTCTTGTGGGGATTAGGGGACTATCTACTAAGCGACTCAAGAGCATCCCCAGCATGGATTAAAAGATGTAGCCGCAGCGCGAACCAAACTAAATCCACTAATTTCGTCCAAACAACGATGGAAAAACTGTACTCATTTTGTTAGGACATAATTTGGAGAATTCGCCGGCTGTAAATGACAGGACGTTCGAACCGCGAATGAATCAACGCAAGATCACGGAGGAGAGGTGAGTATTGTGGGGAAAATTCTTTGACCACAGGAAATGGAGTGGACTTAACATCTTATTTTGGTCAAAGTAGTCCCTACTTTGTCTTATGTTTTAAAGTAAACTGGATCAAACTAAGAAAAGAAGAACAGGTTCTGAGAATGAAAGAGAAACAGAAGGGATTGGGGAAAGGTATGTTCGGCATTACAGTGCCACTTTAAGGGCAAAATCTGACCTGAGAAAAAAAGTTACTTTAGTCCATTCAACTTGCATATAAGAGGAGCAAAATCCACCAATAAAACCGGTGCATCAATAAAACGTGAAATCTAAAGCTGCTTTCTCCATGCCAGAGCAGGAAGTGGTATACTTAATAGGGTATATCACCTAAGAGAATAAAAATTGTTATTAAAAGAAAAGACTGATTTAGAAGCTCATTAAAGTGATACAATGAAAGGTTGAACACAAATAATGGAAAATAGTTACTATAAGTTTAGAAAGCTGAGAATGGAAACACTTGATGTTCAGTTTCAATTGTTAACCAAAATAAAACAATTAAAAGAAACACACGGCTCTAAAAAATGGTATAAAGGAAGAGAAAATTTAATATAGGGCTGTGCACAATGGGTGTGGACCCTGATAGCAAGTGTGAAATACAAAATACCAAGTGGTATAAGAAGAAAAACAAAGCAGAGCCCAAAAATAAACATATATAAAAAAGAAAATTACTTTTATTTATAGGGTAAAATAGCACAGTAATCCACAAAAAGTCTAAATTTAAATCTAAAATATACTTAGGAGAAAGGTCCTTACAACAATAAACAAAGTGGTGTTGGTCTACTAAATCATGCCTTTGGAGTGGAAATGAAATACTAACATCTGTCTCCCGTGGTGAGACAATAAAATAGCGTAGATATCCTGCAGGCAATAATAAAGGTAATAGACTTCTAGCCTCTTGTAATCTCACTATCCGACCCAACAAGTTTAACAATGTATCAATTTAAACATCCAGAGTCTGTTAGATAAGGGGCTACAATGTATGTGCCTGAAATTAATAGTATGATACATTAAAAGAAACATATAGCCAAATGGTGAAATAATCAGCCATGATTAATGGATAAAAAAAATATATATATATTATAAAAAGAGCTCTTAAATTGTTTCTATTCTTTATTGATTTTAAAAGAAGAAAAAAAACAATACACTTGCATAAAATTACATAAAACATTGCTATAAAATTAAAGAGCTCTTAAATTTAAGAGCAGCATATAACTCCATTTGTGGTTAGAGAAAAAAGCCGAACAATTTAGAGGTGTATGTAATTTGGTTGTAGCATGCCAAAACCGACGTTTGGGAAGGCCTGTAAAAAAAAAAAAAAAAGCGGGCCCACCAAGTGAATTATGTGAGAGGAGCAGTGGGTTGGATGAACCAGATGGTATTGGGGTGGCCTGTGGTTTTATATTCCGGGTAACCATTGCCGTGCATGCGCATTGGATCTCCTCCGCCAGCTGACTGCCAAGGGGGAGGAGCAAAGCTGGACCCGAGCCTGCATCGTGAGACATCGGCACTGGACCCAGGTATGTAACAGAAGGGGCTATAACAAGTTTGTTTTCCTGGCAGTATAGTTTCCCTTTACGGTGAGATACTCCTTACACATAAATCACTTAAGGATGACGGTGTGGAGTTGTCCTTTAAACATTCAGCTAAAACTTATAAAATAAACATATAAAAAAGGGCAGGGATAGGCAACCTTTGGTACTGCGGATGTTGTGGACTACATCACCCATAATGCTGACAAAGTTAAGTGATTAACTTTTTTTTTTTCTTTACTTACACAAACCATTCTTTCACTGCATTGTGCATGCCCAAGAAGCACCACTGATTTCTATGGGATATTAGTAAACATACACAAACATTTACTTCTCTTCACTTGAAATCTAAGGGAAGTCAGAGAATGGCTGAGATATCTCAACCAATTCCTGTTGCAAATTATAATCTAAGAAGGTAGAACAGACCTTGATAAATCCGAGAAGAGATGCTCTCAAAAGTATGTTTTTGTGTTGTTGTTTTTTTATGTGCATATTCTTAAAATATTAATACAACTAGTTATTGAAGTGTATTTCCCACAATAAAACTGTTTCAGCATTTTTAACAAGAAAAGATTGATAGTTTGACTTTTTTCTGATCTTCATTAACTTGGATGAAGTCAAACCTGTTTCATTTCAGGTAACCTCTAATTTCTAAGGTGAATAGTTGCTAGGCATCGTTACTCGGATGCCTCTATTGTCTAATATAAACAGTGCTTCATATCTAGGGATACCACATACCGAGCAGCTGCTGTGATTATCCAGCAACAAGGTTTTCCTTCAGAATTTAAAGGTATTTTATATAAAAAGAGCTAATACAGTTTATCCTTTTTAACATGTGGTTTAAATATTAACAGTATATTCTATAAATGTCAATATGACAAAATGAACATGTTATTTGTATCATAAGAGGCAAGTGAAGGGTTAAGGCAATCACTTTCAAACGTTATAGATATTAAGGGCATATCAGAATACCAATTTCAGTTTTTCAGGGACAACTGAAGCATTTCTTTATCTATTCTTAATAAATATTTTTTAAAATATATTAATAATGCTATGCCAGGTAGATTTAAATGTATTATAATTAAACCCCAGCATAGTTTCTGCACTAGTGCTACAATCACTTTAATTTAACCGCATACTTTTAAGATCTTTCCAATAAAAAAAATATAGTGGAAAATAAATTTGTACCCTTCATAGCATGTAATCAAAGCACAAAAAGCAATTTAGTTTATAGACTGCTTTTTATAGGTAAGATAGTCCATACAGAAAAGTAAATATAGTGAAAAAACATTCCTATGGTTTTTTGTAACAAATCTGATGGCTTTTATAGTAATGCCAGCATAGTATTTTTGTCTACATACAGTTTGTGCAGTTACTTGGCCAAGAATCAGTCACTGGGCATACTGTTACATAGTGTTGCTAAAGAAAATGTCTAAATTTGGGTTGACATAATTACACGTTGAGACTGGACAACAAGTCAAGAAAATACTATATTAGGGCTTGTCAAATCCAAGGAGCCATGACTCCAAGAAATGTTACCTTTAGTGCTTATCGTGAGGAGTTTTTTATTTATTTTTTTTTATTTAGAAAATAATAATTTTTTAACAAAAATATTGTCAGTTTACGGTTTAGTGAATAAATTTGTCTGCCACTGCTTGCTTCCTGTATTTTTTTTAAACAGATATCTTATGTAGAGTAAATTCCTCCCAAGTGTCCAACTTTTGGAGGGGCAGACCCTTTTCTTGATCCAAATAACCCTGTCTCTATATCCTAACTGGTGCTCTGCTTTGTTATGAAATGTGTGAATAAGTACACCAATAATGGTTATGATATTGTGCATTTAAACTTTAAGGTAAATGTTGTTAGGAATACAAAAATAGATAACAGTGACCCAATGTGTGCTAAGTGCAAATGTGTAAGAAACTCTGACACCCTGGTGAGGTTCCCTTAACCTTCACCAACAAAGGAATACAAGCACAACAAAATATAAGGCGGAGTATCTTACATGCACTTTTCAAGTAGTCCTTTGCATAGGTACATTTCTTATAGTGTACTCTAAAGAGAATAAAATAACAGAAAAATAGTGCAATATTGCTTGTACTCTTAATTTTGCAAGTCCAATCAAATCTTGATAAATGCAAACTCACAAAGGTGGAGCAACTAAGGATTGGGCTCAAGTTGTTCACTTTGTGGGATGTAAAGGGTCCCACTCCCTCCTCTGTGTTCCAGGTTCCTTATGAAGGGTAATCACAGGCTCACAGGTAAAATATAATAGAATAACATTTATTAATATAAACAAAATAAAAAGAATATTAAAAGACCTTACAAGCTCTGTTGAACAGTCTTAGTAGCAAAACGCGTTTCGCCCCTTCAAGGGGCTTCCTCAGTTGCTGTAAATTTTCCTGGATAATTCTTCGTTTTTTAAAAGCCTTTCGTTGCCGCTTTTTTTCCTTTTCTCTTCATTTCCGGCTCGCCGGACTTCCGGTTTCCGGTCCTTGCGTTCCACCCTTGGAACGCACAGCCATCGTGTATAGCTATACACGACAGCTGTGCGTTCCAAGGGTGGAACGCAAAGACCGGAAACCGGAAGTCCGGCGAGCCGGAAATGAAGAGAAAAGGGAAAAAAAGCGGCAACGAAAGGCTTTTAAAAAACGAAGAAGCCTTTCGTTGCCGCTTTTTTTCCTTTTCTCTTCATTATAATGTGGTAGGAAGGAAGGTCTTAATGAAAAAAAGCCTCTCGGGGATGCCCATGTACAGAGCACTGTTAAAGTGCTCTCGTATGGGCTTATTTTCCTAGATTTAGTTTGCAAAGTGAAGGGGAGTCTAATAATGCACCCTTGCTTACTAGGTTTATATTTCTGGTGGAAAGGAAAAAGGTCTCACAGGGGCATACCCAACTGATAAGGGCCTTATTTAAATGCAAAAACATATTCCGAAAAAGTGGAACCGGAGATCGTTTGATAACCCTTTTTATTAAAAATAGAGCATATAACAATAATAACGTTAAAAAAGTGAAGATCCTAATGTGACAACTTAAGGCAATGTCAATAAACTGAAAAAAGTTAAAAATGAAAGACAATACCCTCCCAGAACCTATGCCAGTGTTAGGGAAAATCCTTTATTAGATGCTATGGTAAATGGTAAGGGTATGTCTACTAAATATCTCTTATAGGGTAAAGCTATATTACTAGGAATAGGGTAACCAGGACTAAATGCATAACAGACGTCACCAACGTGGAATCCACACTGGAGTCTATTAAAATGAGGAAGCCAAATTGTTACATATATGTAACAAAGTGACACTCTGTGGATTATATGATTGACTATAATGTTGCAAGAATTGTATCGAAATAAATATCCCTTAGAGTAAAATACACAGAATATGCTGTGTTGGTAAGCTAGAGACAGAGAAAGAAGGTATATAATAGAACAGTGATGGCGAGCCTTTTTGAGCCCGAGTGCCCAAACCGCAATACATGCCAACTTTTTTTTTCCTCAAAGTGCCAACATGGCAATTAAACCTGAATACTGAGGTTTAAGTGTAGAAAAAAACTACTCTTACAGTTGTCCGAACTAATTAACAACTTTTGTTTTAAAAGAAGAACACAACAGAGTTCAATGATACACATTTTAAATTATGATATAAATAGATAAAATTAAGCTTATATTTATTAGTATCTCCAACAAATGCAATACATACACAGACTGCTGAACACGTTCACACACCGTCCGCTAAATACACACCCACACCGTCTGCTAAATACACCCCCACACCGTCCGCTAAATACACACACAGACAGATTGCTGAATACAAACAGACTGCTAAATACATTCACTGCTGAATACACACAGACTGCTAAATACATACACTGCTGAGTACACACACTCACAGACTGCTGAGTACATACACACACACACACAGCCTGCTGAGTACACACACACAGACTGCTGAGTACACACACACAGACTGCTGAATACATACACACTGCTGAATACATACACACTGCTGAGTACACACAGACTGCTGAATGCATATACACACACACACACAGACTGCTGAATACACACACACACACACACAGACTGCTGAATATACACCCACAAAGACTGCTGAGTACACAGACTGCTGGACACACACACACACAGACTGCTGAACACACACACACAGTCTGCTGAATACATACACTGCTGAGTACACACACACACAGACTGCTCAGTACACACACACACAGACTGCTCAGTACACACACACACAGACTGCTCAGTACACACAGTCTGCTGAATACATATACACACATACATACTGCATTGAGGGGTGGGGTGCTGTGTGTGTGGTGGGTAGGGGTGCTGTGTGCGGGTAGGGGTGGCGTGTTGTGTAGTGTGTGTATGTGGGTGGGGGTAGAGTTGGGGTGCTGATAGTGCTGTGTGTAGGGGTAGGGGTGCTGTGGGGGTAGGGGTTCTGTGGGGAGGGGTGGTGGGTGGGGGGGTAGGGGTGCTGTGACGGAGAGTAGGGGTGCTCTGGGGGTATGGGTTCTGTGGGGGGTATGGGTTATGTGGGGGTAGGGGTGCCGTGTGTGTGTGTGTGTGGTACAGGTAAAAATACATTTAAAAAAAAAAAATTATATTCTGTATCCCCCCTCCCTTCCTCTTACCTTTGGTGAAGGAGGGGGCGGACACAGCCATCCCTGGTGGTCCGGTGGTGGTAAGTATTGTAGGAAGCAGCTCTCCTATTATCCCGCGCGATGCTGTGTGGCAACGCTCCACACAGCTTGCTTGCAGGAGGATAGGAGAGCTGCTTCCTAGAGCCCTCCCCCTGCCTCCCGACACGGAAGCAGAGTAGGCACCTACCGTTTCGGGCAGGCAGGTCCCTACTCTGCAGACAGCCAGCGGCCCCCTCTCCCGGCGACCTATGGCTGCGTGCCAACAGAGGGCCTGGCATGCCACCTGTGGCACGCGTGCCATAGGTTCGCCATCACTGTAATAGAACCTTCAGAGTACTCTGTGGTAAACAACTGCAGAAAGGGGATTGTGCAGCAAGAAACTGGCCTTTAGCATAGGATATAATACATAATTATAGCAGACTAGGATTACAGCCCACAATACCCCTATCTTAGCCGGTAAGAATATATAACTGGATAAACTAGTCCCTCGGTTAAGCTAAAAGATAGAAATGTGTGTTGCCTAGTGGCTGGCAAGGAGTCCTGAGAGAAATAATTCTTAGATCATTGTTGAGCCGGAGTGCCTAGGTTACTAAATAAAGTAAACTAGCGCCTGATAGCTATAGGATATAGAACAGATATGCTCATCTTGGTAAGGTGCACACTGCCTAAAATCGAAAGTAAACCTGTATTACTAAAGTCTCTATATAAGCGTACTTATAGTAGAACAGACACTGGAGGCTTGAGGCTAGCTGAACCCAAACTAGAGTAAACAAATAAAACTGCCTAAGTAGATTAAACTGCCCAAATCATAACACCCAATAAAGTGAAAGGAAAGAAAAATAAAGCGTTAAACGCCTGACGCGCGTTTCGGTGCACACCAGATTTAAATTTTTTCAGTTTATTGACATTGCCTTAAGTTGTCACATTAGGATTTTCACTTTTTTCACTTTATTGTTACATGCTCTATTTTTAATAAAAGGGTCATCCAACGATCTCCGGTTCCGCTTTTTCGGAATATGTTTTTATATTTGTGGTGTCCTCAGAAGCAAGACTTTAGGAATCAAACCCGTGATGGAACACATGAGCCTGTTGGGAAGTATTTATTGCTTGGGTCTTATCTTAAAGGAAAAGTAAAGGCACCCAGACCATGCATCTCAATGAAGATGTATAGGTGCAGTGGTCCTGAAGTATATTTACATCGAATGGTTAAATACACCTCTAGTAACAGTTTTCTTACCAGCCACTTGAGGTGCTTTCGCCTTATAGTCTTGAAAAAGTATTGTTATTTTTGGGACTATAGGTACCATTTCAATGGGTTATTTAGTTGCATAAATGGATAGCAATATTAGTAATATTAAACTTTTCTATATATGTTCTCACCCACAGGCCATGCTTTTAGCAACACCCATTTAAACCACACGTGTCCAACACATTAGAACTGTTCATAAATAATAAAAAAAAATGATGACATTTAACTTTTTGCAATAGTATTCCTTTAAACCCCATGTGTTGTTGATTTGTGTTTAGCATTTTGCTCATTACTAATGCATATGCCATACAATCAAGGTAACATGTTAACCATATATTCTTATAGTGTTGTACACGGAGTGCACTCATTTTCAGTAATATTTTGGGTGTAAAGAAGTTTTCGCCTATTAAAATGATTCATTCCATGGGCTGGATTCTGCCTATTGCAGTAAATTGCAGCTCCAACTGCTCAAACGTTATATGTCAACAAAACATAAATTCCAAGAAACGCTCCCTCTAATTTTCTTTTCTTTAGATCTCAGTCATATTTTACTTTGCAATGTACATAAATTGAAAAGATAAACCATCATGAAACCATACTGACCCAGTGAATATATACACAAAAAACAAGAAAAAAAGTACTTCAGGGACTTCTATAAAACAGCTTTTATTTACATGATCCAATAAAATGTCGATGTTTCACCTCCCAACTTTCATCAGGACAATAAAGATATATATGATTATTCTGTATATGCGTGTGTGTGTGTGTGTGTGTGTATGTATGTGTATATATGTTTATGTGTGTGTGTGTATGTATATGTATGTGTGTGTGTGTGTGTATGTATGTATAAAATTTGTGTGTTTTATATACTTTTGTTTGTACTGTACTATACATTTTCATTTGCAGGCGCCACCGCTGCCCCCACAACCCTACAATGATTTTCGAGAAATCTGGAAAACCATGTGTTCTTACTGAATATGTAGAAAAATATCCACAGTATGATCAAGTGCTGCCACCAAAAAGCATGAAACCCAAGGAAGAATTGCAAGAAAACCGTGGAAGAATGGAAGGAGTCTCAACCTTTAAGTTAGTATACTTTAATTGCTGTAATATTAAACATCAAACTAATTTTCATCTGTTTCAACATTTACTTACAGGACACCAAAAAGCTAAATGTACCAAGTAACCCACAAGAAAAAAGTTTATATGCAAGCATTTACATGTTAGCAGGCTGGGTGAAGTAGAGGTATAATTCAGCAGGACTCCTTGGATACAGTGGTGTCTCTAGGAACAAGGCGGCACATAATACACCACACTCAATAAAGGGGAGCACTAATAATTTTTACCTCTAAATCATAGTAATAGTAAGTTGAGTCTCGTCTATAGGGGCACCTCTAATAAAAGTATTTTTCTGGAGGAAGAAAGGTAATCTGAAAAAAGGGGTTAAAGTGTAGATTAACATACTCCAACCATTGCCTATGTTTGTGTCAAAATAAGAAATATATGTCTCTCCCTTTCTGAAATAGGATTCAGTTCTGCAGGCGGATGCCATTATGGCAGACTCAGAGAGTGACACTCGCACAGACAGTGACACTATCACAGCGTCTGACATTGAGCCCCTAAGTAACTCCTCCAGTGATGGTTTCCCCCAACACCATCTACAAGAAGGCGCTCAGAATGCCCCACAGTGCCAGAGGAAAACTAGGTACCCCCAAACAGGACTGCCCCAGAAATACCCCCATTAATGGCTACACCTGACATCACAACAACAGTAGATGTTTGAGAGTAACTGAGCTATTTTAGCATCATTATGTCAGATGACATATTTAAGCTGATGGTTGAGTAAACCAACTTGTTTGCCAGCCAGTATCTGTCTGCATATCCAGGATTGCATTACAGTAGGAACATGTGGCTCCTTACTGATGTTGCAGAAATTAAAACATTTTGGGCTCCAAAAGGACTCCAGTTATTACGGTCTTCCTGCCCATCTCTACCTGCTCTCTGCATAAAAGACTGTTTCATAGTCTACCATGCAGAGCTGAACTATTAAATCACTATGTATGTGACTTTGTCAGTTTGCTTATTCTGAATTTCTGACCGCGGCTTGTCCTGATTATTCTTTATTAGCTGCCTGAACCAACTCATTGGCTTGTTATACCGACTACTCTAACTTCTGGATTCATATGACCTTAGTCTTTGCTTGTTTATGTTAAGCCCAGCCATTATAAAAGTAGCCAAACTACTCTGAATCCAACATTTAGAATACTTGTTAAATGGTTTGCCATCATGGGGGCAATATTTTTTGTTAGGGTGCCATGTTCTCTCAAAGGCAACATAGGCAAAAAAAAAAAAAAATCACTTTGTCAAAGTGTGTGTGTAAGAAAAAACCCTGTACATGGTGGGTACTGTTGTACTTGTGAGATATGGCTGAATACAAATAAACAAATCTAAGTTTTACTGTTTTAGAGCAGTAAAACATAAAATGGCGATGACACTATCAGTAAAATTGCAGTTTTTGTGTTCTGAATAATAACTTTGGCTAGGGTTTGTGACTACTAAAAAAGACTGGGCATACCCTATTTTAAATACCTAGGGTTGTCTACTCAACAAATGGTATGCCAGGGGGTAATTCTCATTCCTGGGCTGCCATACTGTCTCAAAGGCAACATAACCAATCTGGTAAATTTAAATGTGTAAAAACTGAAATGGGAAAGCCCTATATTTGACCCCAAAACTTAAAAAAAAAAAGGGGGGGGGGGAGGAAGGGAAAACACAGGAGTAGGAGGACCACTAAAAGAGAGGGAAGGAAGGGGAGAAGAACACTAAAGGGATGAGGGGGGCACTATTATTATTTTTGACATTTTTATATAGCGCCAACAGATTCCGGAGCACTAAGAGACAGGTAAGGGGAGGGAGGGGAGAGGAACACTAAGGGACGAGGACAACTAAGGGACGTGGAGGGGAGAAAGACACACAGATTGGCCTAGGGAGAGAGTGAAGCACAGAGGGGCTGTGGATCAAGGGAGACACAGAAGGGCCAGAAGGTGGAAATACAAAGGGGCTGGGATGAAAGAGACACAGAGGGGCTAGAGAAGAGGAATAAGAGACACAGAGGGGCTGGGGGGAGATAGACGGCTGGGGGTGAAAGAGAAACACACAAAGAGGGTTTATAAGTGATACACGAGAGGTGTAAGATACACGATGGGGAAAAAATAAGAGATAAGATACACTAAAGAGGGTAAAACATTTTAAAAAGGGGATATGAAACAAAAGGCGAGCTAAAAGGCACACAGGTGAAGATGCTTTTTTTGGGGGGTGCCAAAATCATCTTCGCATGTGTACCCAAAAATCCTTGCCCTGGCCCTGTTCATAAATAAATATTTGATGTCAAATAAAAAGCACATTTCTCATGAATAAAATTATATATAAGAAGTGTGGGTGCATATGAAAAAGGTAAATTGTGGTTGAACAAACATATCTTAAATTCTAAAGTTTGGTCAGAACTTGTAAAATAGCCCCCGTCCTTAAGGAGTTAAACAGATCTTGTAAATACGATTTGAAACATTTAAACAGAAGTTATATTTGCTTTTCTCATCCATATTGATTCATGTCTTGATAAATTTAAATATAAATTTTTAACATTCCTACATGTTTTAGGTCAGATTATCTTCCATATGATGTGCTTAACCGACCAAGACGTCATCAGGAAGTATATAAACCAAAGCCTGGCCACATGGATCATGGAACAACCTATAAAAGGGATTTTAATACTTATGAAATACAACCCGTGGCACCAGTGCGTCCAGTCGAAAGACGACAGAATATTGGAAAGTTTGATGGAAACCCTACATATAAAGGTAACTTTACCTGTCTTTAAGAGAACCTCCAGGTTGGAGTTGGCCGCCTAATCCTTTTTAATGCAAGTTAAAAATGAGGAGAAAACCTTACTTTATTCACTAAAGTGAGAATTCAAAGTGAATTTAAAATTTAAGGTCAAAGTAGCTATGCTTTCAATTCATCTACTGTGGATGTAAATTTGAAATTCACTTTGAAATCTCACTTTAGTGAATGACCCTGTATAAAGTGAACTCACATGAGATCAGGAAGTGTCAGAAAGCTTGTGACGGAGCTCCTGTACTCCGAGCGAGTACCTCCACCCAATCCGCTTGCAGGGATCCTGGAAGAGTTTCGCCCAGTCGCCTAAGCTTGACTGGGGTCTCTCAGGAGCTCTTCTACCCTACCAGGCTGCAGCTCTCCTTTCAGGCAGAGATCGTCCCCTCAGCCTATACAGCTGCAGCGCTTCTTCCAGGCAGATATCCAGAGCACTGCCTATAAGGTGATTATAGCTGTTGCCTTTACAAAGGCAATTGCGGCTCTCAGGCCTTGCTCTTTTGATTTATCACAGGACTAGAGGGATCTTGCAGCCAGCAAACAGATCCAAAGACTGTCACTTGGATCCCTAAAAATCCACACAGGACACAAGTTCCAAAAGGAACTATCATGCAATACTTAGCATGATATGCTGCGACAAACTCAATAAAATACAATTAACCAAATCATATCAGAAAACATACAGGAACTTATAATAACATAACATATTTAGAAAGTGGTGGGGGAGACAATATTAAACTCAAAACATCTCTCCTGCCTGCAGAATTCACAATATATGCAAATCTACCTGAATATGCAAATTGCTATTCAGGTAGTGCATACAGCTGTTGCTAGATCCTTGAAACCAACAGGTGGCGCTGTGCAGGCTCAACAGCCAAATCCACCTAGTTGATTTGTAAGCATTAATAAGGCAGGAGAGCACACTAACATTTAACACTAAACAATTACATTATACACACCCTGCACCTATAATGGGCACAGGGTAACTAAAACATAAGAATAGTACAGAGACCTACATAAATAGTCTGTCTAAAGCTCCTGGTGATGATGACTGTCACAAAGCTGTCAGCCAATCCTGATCGCTTTCAGTGAAGTTTTGTGCAGATCCAATAAACCACTAGACCAGAGGTGTCATGCATACAGCCCTTGGGTCGGATATGGCTATGTACCCAGCCCACAGTGACAATATTGATTCTCTGTCTTCCTGACACTGAGAGTATGCAACAACAAAAAAACAAGTGTTTTCTGTATCAGCTCTCTTCTTTTTCCCATTGTACTTGGCTGCAGGTCTCACAGTGGACAGTGCTAAGATATAAGTAATGTATTGAATTGTACTGCCCCCCCCCTCTCCCTCTCCCTCTCTCTTAAAGGCCACACAGCACAGCTAGATGCAAGGGGAAAGAGACACAAGGCATACTCACTAAAGTAATAAATGCCAGGATTTCTAATTGAATACCAAGTAAATTTCAAAATTATGGTATGGCTCAAATAGCCAATTTCAAATTAAGTAAATTTTTTTGTTCAGATTGGCTATTTTGGGCTTACATTTAAAATCCAGTTTGAATTCCCAGCAATTCTTACTTTAGTGATTCATCCTGACAGGTTGAGAGAGAGTTGTTCATGGAAATGCTCCATTCCTTTGCTGTCTCTCTACTATACTGCCAGGGATGGGTCCTATCAAGAAAAGGTAGACAAGTGGGGTTGGACTCATGTAAAGTAAAATGAATAAGCACCAAAACACCTTTAGCTTAGTGAAGCAGTTTTGGTGTATAGATCATGTCTCTTCAGTCTAACTACTAATTTCTCTGCCATTTAGGAGTTCAATCTAATTCTGTTTATACAGCCTGCTGTTATAGCCTCATGTCCCCTGACTATGTCTCAAGGAGCAGTTTGAAAAAAAACGGTTTCATTTTGAGTCAGATCTTAAAGCACAGTGTGTTTAGGAGTTATTATATCCAGCTCTAGCAAACAATTAACATAGCAGGAGATACAGTCTTCTAAATGAAACACACTGTGCAATAAAGGAAGCTTGTAATTAGATCTCTCTTTACAAAAAGTGTTTATGGAAGCTGAGAAAGTTGTAGGCAGGGGAGGTGGGGTAGGACTGCATAACTCCTAAATGGAATTGAGTAGTGTGATTACAGAGACATGATCTATGCACGAAAACCACTTCGTTATGGTAAAGTTGTTTAAGTGCTTAGAGTGGCATGATGTTTTCTTGTTGGAAAGATATTTTGATTGTGAATGCAAGCCTTAATATACTCGTCATTGTTTTATAAATTATTGTTTATTTGTTTTTTAAAAGATGATTTCAAAGCATGGGATATCCAAAAAAGGGAACTTGCGAAACAGGATAACGCTTACCAACCTCCAAAAGAGAAGTTCGGTAATTTAACTACCTTTCAGGATGATTATTTTCAAAAGGAGCTGATCCCAAGAGAAAGCTACAGACCTCCAAATGTATCTAGACGTATCAACATTCCTTTTGATGGCCTTACAAGCCATCGTATTTCCTACATACCGTACAAACTGGAACCAAAGCTTGTTAGAGATAGAGAAGAATATAAGCCTAGTAGCCAACCATTTGATGATCTCACCACCCATCGCCTCAATTACAAGGGTGCACTTGGTGAGTTAACAAAGAGCTTTAAACCAGAGCATGGGAAAGTTGGTAGCAGTGCAAGGTTTGAAGGTAGCTCTGAATTCAAAGATAGCTTCCAGCCATGGCTGATACCCTCACGTTATATTCATAAAGTGGATGAGTATATTCCACCTAATGCTCACATGGAGTCAGATACTACAACTCATAGAGATTATGTTCAGCACCAGCTAAGTTATGTTGCCCCCGCCAGACCTGTGTCCCATGGTAGAAGAAGTAGTGCACCCTTCCAAGGAAATACTACAATGAAAGATGATTTTAAAGCCTGGGAAGCCCAGCGTCAAGGAATTATCAAGAGAGAGCATCAATTGCCAAATGCTAGTGGAAAATTTGATGGATTAACTACATTCCGAGCTCACTATCAGCCCCATGAGATAAGTCTCACTGAAAATTATAAGCCTTACATGGCAGTCCGAAATTATGTTCCATTTGAGGGTGAAACCATGTATCACTCAGAGTATACAGCCAAAAAGAATGAAATCTGTCCAGCAGTTTATCCATCTCCACCTGGCTATGTTTTTGAAACTGTTGATAGCCGAGGCCACAAAATGTACCGGAAGACTCTTACTCCAGAAATGAATACATTTTCTAAGGAAAATGGAAACAAAATGGCTCAAGCTATCGCTGTGATGTCTTAAATGAAGTTAAGAAGAATATATTGTGCAAAATAAATTACAATCTATATTCTGTAGAAACATTTGAATTTTACTAATCATTTTTTCTATTTTCATTTATCATATATATTTGCTATCTGTATATTCACAGGGCTCAACAATGCCTCTTGGGGGCATGATGATACAACTTAATATTATATTTTAAATATTATTAGAATTTTCATTATGGCTGATCTGATGACCAAATTTAGACATATTACAATGAGAATTGGATATTCAATAACTGGCATGAATATTTTCCAGTCAGGCAGTATATATTGTATGTGTATAACAGCAAACGGTCTATCAAAATAGATACGTTTTGCAATTAAACCAAAGTGATTGTCTGAAAAAACAAAATGGCAGTATTTTGCATACATGGGTATCAGAACAAACAAAAAAGTATTGTAGAAATATAACTTTTATTTTCAAAAATATCTGCAAAATTGTTATTAAATCTGCAGCTGGAAATGTATTTAGCTATTTTGTTTTTCATGATATATATGAACTGTAAGTAGTACGAAAAAGCAACAAAAAAAACACAACAAACTCAATAGTCTGTCACTCATGATTACTTCTTCAACCAATCCACATAAACTTGTACTTTAACCAAACATTTTAGTTTGTGCTTTACTTCAAAGAAATTATGAAATTTTGTATAACTGTAATGTGACAAATCTGATAGTTTAATTCACTTTAGATTAATAACAATCTTTATTATCCTATGATCAAATTTTGACTATCTCAAATAAATTATGACTAACACATTTACTTGATTCTACATCTGGCCATTTTTTGAAAATATTTTTATATGTATATTTAATATTTCTGCTAATTGAACAGGTAAAAATGCCAAAATTCGGACGGCCATAACTTGGGTGTCAGTATTGTATGCAGAGACTCAGAGGATGTGCAACATCAATAAACCATTGAAATGTAAATCCTTTAAAGTAGGCCAAATACACCATGCCTGTCATTGCCTTCTCCCTGACACACGGAGAGGTAATTACCATTGATCATAGATAGACCATTTTCCTGTTTAATAGAGGGCGAGTTTACAGAAATGTGGTTTCTTTGCTTCGTGGGGTGTAGTCAGTTGAAAAAGTGTTGAAAAAGTATAATTAACGGTCTTTTTTTTTTTTTTTAATAAATGCACATTTTATTTTTTCTCTACAGTAGGCTAATTATGGCACCATACAACATGCCCCATTTTATGTACTGTTAGGAAAGGTACACCAGGACTGTTATAAGACAATGGTGGGTCAGTGTAAAGTTCATTTTAATAGTGGACCTCATTCAAGTGATAATGTACCTGAAATACATTTATAATTATAAGGTGTTTGTAATGCAGTGGACTAGAACATGCAGTGTGCTGGCCAAAACTAGCTAGAAATAGTAGGAACGCTCTGTGTGAAAACTTTGTGCTGTTCCTATTCTAAATAGTATTTTAGTGGCATAGATTGTTGTTAGTAAGTTACTTAGAATAAAATCTACCATGGCTACACTCCTACTCACAACCCTAAAATGAGACTATCCCTCTTTGTCAATTAGAAATGTTGAGAAGTATGGTGAACTACAATGATCATTAAGCCCCAGTGGCCTAATGGAGGCTTCCTAAGCCAGGGATTGTGGATTAGATTCCCATCTGGGGTGTGCAAGTACTATTTTTCGCAATGGTCAAGTCCTTCCAAACCAGTATATCATGATGGTCAATGTTATTTTTGTCAAGAAAACCACTATTACAAGTACGTATGTAGTGATTTTTTTAAATAGCATTAACCCAGTGAACAATTTGTCTTCACTAGACCCAAAATAGCAAAAATTAAAAATCCCTCTTAACACCCCCTCACTTATACCTAGTATCAAAAACTGCCACCACCAGGGCAATGCATAAAGGTGGCAGTTAAGGTTACCCCAGCAAATCAGATTTAAATTAATAATCCACAAAAATACAAATCGGCTAAATATCTATGAAAACTACTATTAAGTAGGTCTCTTCAGGTACTGTCATTCCTATACCAGACAGAGGCAGCACTTAATAAAGGAAAATTGATTGATTAAAAATGGTCACAGTACATACATATAAAATTAGATGATAAACTGTTACATACAACAACAAACATATACAAAAAAAGGAAATGCCTAGAAAATACTTATTACCTACTAACCAGGGGGGCTCCAGCAAGAATAATGGCAACTTACTCAAAATTAGATCTGGGCCCTACTTACACTAGTCATGTACATGTCATCAGACTTACACCTGCTGCAGTCATCTCAAGGTGCAAACTGGCCCGTTAATCAACAATGTGCTAAAATGCAAGCTGGTGTTGTGCCAGCAGATGCAAAGTTTGGGATCACTTTGATTACCTCCAACAAGGGCGACTAGCAAAGTGCAAAATGTGCAGCAATGAAGTGAGTACTGGCGAATGAAGACTCATCTCATTAGTGTCGGTATGAAGCAACATCTGCAAAGATACCACAAATCTGTATTACTTACGGAAAAGTAGAACAAGAGTATTGGGACTGGCTACTTTGTCTCTGTATTTCTCTTCCTCCTGACTTTCTTAGACTCAAGGTAGAGTCTAAGTGTCAATCCCCACAGCGATCATCAGTGACGGCTGCAGGAAATTGCGGAGGATTCAGCTTTCTTGCAGGATCCCTCATAGACCTCAATACTGTACACTTGCACTAAAGTGCCAGGAATTGAAGAGGAGCAGCGCGAACAATATGGAGAGGTTTAGGTAAGTAATCTCGCCTACCTGTCCCCCGCAGCCACCGGACCACCAGTGGCAATTTCAGTGTTGTGGGGCTTTGCAAATTTGTGATGCTTTATTGTTACCAAAAATTGCATCAGCCAATTCATCATCCCAATACAATATAGTCATTAAATTATTGGCTATAAGTGATGGTAAAATAAATCACCCCGGTAACCAAATTATCCTTATGTCTTCCCAGTGGCGTACATACCGCGGTCGCAGGAGTCTCAGTTGCGATCGGGCCTTCACTCCAGGACTGCGGACCCCTGCGACCGGGTATCAGCTGCCACGTTTTCCGGCACCGGCCCGTGCGGACAACGGCCGGGCCCATCTTTCAAGGGGTCCATTGGGGGCCCAGTCAGCGCTGGGCGCTTTAACAGCGTGACAGGGCCCCCTGTGATGTCATCACTGATGGGAGGAAGTGACTCCCCGGTCACTCCTCCCAGCTATCAGAGCCCGCGTGGGAGGAAGGAGGAGGGAGTCAGAGTGGGAACTCTGACTCCCATCAGGCTTGGCCCCCACTGGACCCCAAAGAAAGTCACAAAAGTTAGGAAACATTTGTATATGTGTGTCTGTGTCTGTGTATGTATGTGTCTGCGTGTGTGTATGTGTCTGTATGTATGTATGAGTCTGTCGGTGGGGGTGTGTGTGTGTGTGTGTATATGTTTGTGTGTCTGTATGTATGTATTGGAGGGGGGCCCACGGATCAGGGGAGGGAGGCAAGGGGGGGCCCACGGATCAGTTTCGCACCGGGGCCCCATGGATTGTGTGTACGCCACTGTGTCTACCCTCTCTTAGGAGGTCCTTCCCCTTTTTATCCTTTGAAATGTTGAAAGCACGCTCAGTCGCCCACATGCTGTATTTTCTGTCGATCAGTCTATTTTAAATCTCTAGATTGAACCAAATATCCCTCATAACTGTTACAATTCCTCCAGTCTTATAAACTGTCCCCAGAATGCTTTTAATCAAATTTAAAAGGGTTTTAACTTGTTTCTATAAGATAATTCACATCAGCACTTCTCCTATAGGTATGGGTAGAAACACTGCTCCCACTTGTACTTTCAGTCATTACGTCCAGAAAATGGATTGGTGGTCTGCTGAACTCAACAGTAAACTTTAAGTCCAGTACATTGTCTTTAACTTATGAATGAAACTCCAACAAAGCCTGTTCACCTTCAGTCCATACTATTAAGAGGCCTTAAATGTATCTGCTGTATGAAGCTATACTGCCAGGAAAAGGATTACTATCTCCATAAATGTGGGACCTCTCCCACCAACCTATATAAAGATTGGCATATTATGGCACAATAAAAAGGGGAAAAAAGAGAAATTCAAGGGGTTAAGATCCACACAAGGGGTAAAATAGGGTTAAGAGACACATAAGGGGTAAAAAAAGTCATTCAAATGTACCCAAGAGGTAAAATGGGAGGTACAAAATGCACACAAGGGGGTAAAGTGGAGGTTAAGAGGCACAGAAGTAGTAAAAAAGTGGTTACGTGGCACACAATGTGTAAGTGGGGTTTAAAGGCACAGAAGTGGCTAAGACACACACAAGAGGTTAAGGAAGAGGTTAAGAGGTGCATTAGAGGTAATGGCATTAGACATTTACACAAGGGGTAAAGTGGGGGGTTAGAGATGACCAAAAGTTAAAAGGAGGCGTTAAGAGGAACATGGGGGTAAAGGGATGATAAAAGGCACACATGGAATTAAAAAAGGGGTTAAAGGCACACAAAGGGAAATGGGGGAATAAATGCATCCAAGGGATAACTGGGGGTTTTAAGACACACATGGGGTAAGAAAAGTTACACAATGGGTTATGGAAAGGGTTAAAAGTTATACAATGGGAAATGGGAGTTAAAATGCATACAAGGTGTAATAAAGGGGTTAAAAGCATCCAAGGATAAAAGAAGGGGCTAAGAGGCACACATGAGTAAGTGGGGTGGTGAAAGGCACATAAAGTGTAACAGGGGAGGGATTGATGGGGTAAAGACACCCAGTGGATAAAAGGGTGGTTTAAATGCACACAAGTGGTAAGTAAAGTTAAATTGACATACAGAAGGGGTTAAGTAAGGGGCTTAATGGCACTCAAAGGGTAAAATGGGGGGTTAAAAGGCACTGGGTGGTAAAGGAGGGTTAATGGCACATGTGGGGTTAAGAAAGTGACTGAAAGGCACTCGGTGTAATTGTGTGGGCAAAGGCACCCAACGCATAACAGGGGGGTTTAATCCCTTAAGGACACATGACATGTGTGACATGTCATGATTCCCTTTTATTCCAGAAGTTTGGTCCTTAAGGGGTTAAAGGTCCACAAAGGGTAAGAAAAGTTAAAAAGGCAGTCAACAGTTAAAAACATTCCAGGTATCCTTGAAGTTTGGAAAATAAAAAATATGTTTCTGCAGAAAAACAAAAATTACAATCAGCTTCTTACCATTAGCAGCAGCTTGCCCCCCCCCCCAGCATAATTCTGCAGGTCTGACATTCTTTTGCCAAATGAAAAGCATATTTAATTTCTCTAAATCCAGTCTTATTAAAGGCTATTAATTAGCTTAATTGACAGGCAATAGGTAGCTCTAGAGCTCTTGGTTTAAAAAAGAAAAAAAGCAATAGCTATCTCTCAACCTGAGTAGTCGCATGCTTGCAGCGCTCCATCTCAAGAGATTGAAACATTATAAGTGTCACGGTTCCCAGTTCATTCCTTAGGTGAAACCCCCTTGTGCAGTACCATTGATCACCACTCGCCCTGTTTGGTGCTATTTCCTACATCTAGGAACATTAGCACCGTCAGCTGGCCATTGTTAGGCCCCTTTATAGTCTGGCCTTAACCTTCCTTCCTGGCCAGATCATGGTTTCCTTTTTCCTGTTGCAGTGTAGGCATTGCACCTTGTGGCTCTGGACTTGAATCCTGTCAATTTCCTATGCAACATACCTGGTCCTGTACAGCGTACTCTATTTAACCCAGAAGGACTGTACCTTATAAACACAGCCCGCACCTCCTGTGGTAGACCTGGGTTTACTGTATGATTTTTATGTCACTGTATTAATAGTGTATTTTGTTCTTTGTTTATCTGTATCACATTTGTTTATTTCGTATAATATATTTCATATGCATTCATTCCTTGTGGTTGTCAGTTATTTTCTCTGCATATTGGGTTCCTGTTCCTGAAGGGATTTGCTGTCATAGGTCAGCGCCCCTTCCTTCCCCGACAATAAGAAGCCAAGAAGGACTGTTTTACCTATGGGGTGGAAACCTTAAAAAACAGAGTAGGATTGGCTTCTGCATTCTGCTGATATAGGCAACTCGTTCCGGAGGCAGCATTGCAAGTGGAGACCCGGCATGGCGTTGGAACTCAGAGGTTTTTCGGATACCTCCAATAAGTTTTCTTTGCATAAGACAGAGAATATGGGCTTTCAGGGCTCCCATGAATCTCACCTGTCGGTCATGGGGGCATTAACTTCAGTGACCACAACCATTCTAACAACCCTCTTGGTGGACCTTTGTCAGAGCATATCGGCAGATATCTCCCAAGTGTGGAAGATCATTAGAGGGATTACAGTCCGACTTACCATTATGGAGGAGATGGTGTCAACCCACAGTGCACACATTTTTGACCTGTAGAAACAGGATAGTGACCTGACCACAGCCCATGCCCATCTCGAACACAAACTAGAGACCCTGGGGGATAAAAGATGGTGGAAACACTTGAATATAAGAGGCCTGTCAGACGATATTGTTATGGCCGACCTGCCTCATTTCCTATGCAGGCTATTTATAGCCTTATAATTACCCAAACAAGTGAAAGGGTATGCACTAGATGGTATTTTCAGCTTGCCAAAGCCTCAGTTGACCATAGCAGCTGCCTACAACTTACTGATCAAATTTAAAAAATGTACAAGACAAAGCTGCATTCAGAGGGAAAACAAAATATAAGTTTTAAGGGATGAAACTCACTTTTTTCTCAGACCTCTCACACACAACTCTGCAGTGGAGGAAATCACACCAACCCCTTAAAGTTGGCTTTTCCACATGGCCTGAAGTACTAATGGGGTACCTCATGTTTATTGCTAATCCACCACAACAACAAAAAACATAGAGTGTCTGATGTCTCCGCGATGGATGCTGTCCGGTCTAACTGGGCCCAGGCCCAAACTCTGAACCCAGCAACTCGGGGACAACTTAAGCTGCTGTTCCATTATAAGACCCAGTGAAGATTACTCCATTTACCCCTGCGAACAATAGTCTATGGTTGCAACAGTTATGAATATGGTTTTATCTTTTTTTTGTACCCTCCATTATTCAACACTAATGCCATGATTTCCTAGCCTCTATAGACCAATGTCCAAAATGTCCCAACAATCCAAGCCCCTCGTTTACCACCTTCCTCCCCACAGCTCCAATTGGTCTCTGTTCTATAGTAATCTATTCCTGGGAGCTGTTTACATTAGCATCTCACGGTTTTTATTTTCTTTCTTTTTTTTGTGTTTTGTTCTCATATTTTGGTTACTTACATGAAATGGCAGAACACAGGAAAAATTTTCAGGCACTCACAGGGTCAAATCAACAGGCAGATTTATTGGATCAAAGCAGACAAAGCAACATTTCGATCTACTGAGAGGTCTTTAATAAGCTAACAACACAAGTAAACTAAACCACATATATACATAAAGGTGTAATTGATATTAATTATTCAATCATGCAAAGTTATACAAAAATAAGTGATATGTGATAAACATTACATACTAATAAAAGCAGCAAACACTTAATAGCTCACCTAAGTGTGTCAACAGAAAGTGCTGGAAGCAGGCACCACCAAAAGGTCCCACAGCTAGGTCTTTTAACATGATCAAAATCAAAATGGCCGCTGCAGGATGCCCAGAAACTGCATAAAGTTGCATTTATTTCACTATTGTACTATGTTGCAACCAGGCATCCCAACTGTGTCAGTTTCAGCAGGACAGTCCCGATTTTCAGGTCCTACCATCCCAATATCGAAAATATCTGCATATGTACGGTGTCCAAGAGTTTATAGCAGTGATGGCGAACCTTTTTGAGCCCGAGTGCCCAAACCGCAATACATGCCAACATTTTTTCTCCTTAAAGTGCCAACACGGCAATTAAACCCAAATACTGAGGTTTAAGTTTAGAAAAAAACAACTCGTACTGTTGTCCGAACTAATAACTTTTGTTTTAAAAGAACACAGAGAGTTCAATGATACAAATTTTAAATAATGATATAAATAGATAAAATTAAGCTTATATTTATTAGTATCTCCAACAAATGCAATACATACACACACAGACTGCTGAATACATACACACAGTCTGCTGAATACACACACACACACAAGACTGCTGAATACAGAGACTGATGAATACACAGACAGACTGCTGAGTACACACACACACACACACACACACAGACTGCTGAGTACACACACAGACTGCTGAGTACACACACACACTGCTGAGTACACACACACACAGACTGCTGAGTACACACACACAGTCCACTGAATACACGCAAACACACATAGACTGCTGAATACACGCACACACACACACTGCTGAATACACGCACACACACACACTGCTGAATACACACATACTGCATTGAGGTGGGGGGTGCGTGTGTGTGTGAGTGTTGTATGTGAGGGGTGCTGTGTGTGTGTGTGCTGTGTGTGCTGTGTGTGTGTGCTATATGTGTAAGGGTGCTGCGGGGGGTAGGGGTACTGTGTGTGGGGGGTAGGGGTACTGCTGGGAGGGTAGGGGTACTGTGTGGGGGTAGGGGTACTGTGGGAGGGTAGGGGTACTGTGTGAGGGGGGTAGGGGTACTGTGTATGGGGGGTAGGGGTACTGCTGGGGGGGGAGGGGTTACTGCTGCTGCTGGGGGTTAGGGGTACTGCTGGGGTGTAGGGGTACTGCTGGGGGTTAGGGGTTACTGCTGGGGGGGTAGGGGTACTGCTGGGGGGGGGGGTTGGGGGTTAGGGTTACTGCTGGGGGGTAGGGGTTACTGCTGGGGGTTAGGGGTTACTGCTGGGGAGGGTAGGGGTTACTGCTGGGGTGTAGGGGTACTGCTGTGGGGGGTAGGGGTTACTGCTGAGGGGTAGGGGTACTGCTGGGGAGGGGAGGGATTACTGCTGGGGGGGTAGGGTGCTGGGGGGTTAGGGGTTCTGCTGGGGGAGTAGGGGTTACTGCTGGGGGGGGTATGGGTGCTGTGTCAGTATATCCCCCCCTCCCTCCTTCTTACCTTTAATGAAGTAGGGGGGGAGGGGGGGGACAGCGATCCCTGGTGGTCCGGTGGTGGTAAGCACTGCAGGGGGAGGGCTCCAGGAAGCAGCTCCCCTGTCCTCCCATGCTGTGTGGAGCGTTGCCATGGTAACGCGCGGTAACGCTCCACACAGCATCGCGCGGGAGGACAGGGGAGCTGCTTCCTGGAGCCCTCCCCCTGCCTCCCGACCCGGAAGCAGAGTAGGCGCCTGCCGTTTCGGGCAGGCGCCTACTCTGCATTGATGGCGAACCTGTGGCTGCGTGCCCACGGAAAGGGCCCGGCGTGCCACCTGTGGCACGCGTGCCATAGGTTCGCCATCACTGGTTTATAGCTATATTTAGGTGGCCAAGCAACAATATAATAACAACAATAATAATAATTGCTGGATAACAAAATACTGCTTAAACTACTTTAACCATATAATAATCAAAATAATAATAATAATAACAAAGTATTTAACCAGGAAAGGTACATTCAGATTACTTTGGTTTTCAATTACGTTTTGGGGATGTTACATTAGCCCAACATCCAGGGGTTGTTACTACTGTCCCTAGTGTGTGCATGAAATAGTGGATTTCACTTTTTGAACTGGAAAGAGAAAAAGCTAATAGAAAAAAACAAACAAAAAAAATGGGTATCTAAACTAACTAATTTTTATTTAATAGTTTTACATGAAAAAACAATCACCATGAATGGACATAATGATGTTGTTAGAGTTTGGTGTGATATTTCACTGTATAGCCACTAGATGGCACTGTATAGCCACTAGATTGCCTGAGGAAATCAAAGTAACAAAGGTGGAATATGAGCTACAGTATTTATTAGTTCATTATATAACTTCTGTCTAAACTGTAACATTGTTCTCCTCATAGTAATGTAGACCAAATCGTTGCAAAAAAGGTGCAGATGCTAATTCACTGACTCACTGCACCATCACTGTATATGTAATATATAGGTGATGTAGCTATGTGTTAACACTATATAAATGCCAATAATAATAACAATGCTACATTTCTGTTAGAATACAATTCATTGTTGTTGGCCAGAAATTTAAGATACTTTTTTTTTTTTTTACTGTTTTTAGTAATTTGACATGATGACCCACTTGATTTGCATAACATATTGCATTTATCGCATTTGTAGTCGTTGTATCTATTCAGGCCCGGACTGGCAATCGGGCATACCGGGCAAATGCCCGGCGGGCCGCCATGGCCGTGGGGCCGAGGCTGGCAGGGAGATCACAGGATCTCCTCTGCCAGCCCCTGCAGGGCCAGCGCTATCCGAGCGCCAGCCCTGCTGTGTGCCTCCATGGGCCGGTGGGGAGATCTCCCCACCGGCCCACAGGCACTGTTACAGGCGGCCGCCGGCTGGGGAGGGAGGGAGGAGAGGTCCGGCGGAACTCTAACCAGCAGTTCCGCTGGGTCCTCTTGCAGGATTCTGAGCGTTGCCGCGGTTACCACGGCAACGCTCAGATCTCGCGAGAGTGAACTCTAGCCTGCAGGTTAGAGTTCACTCTCACCACTGGACCACCAGGGAAGGATGGCAGCACGGCCCCCCTCATGGCAGAACGGCTCCTCACCCCCCAGGCAGATCGGCTCCCTCTCACAGGCTAAAGGTAAGAAGGGAGGGGGGGGATATAATTATTTAAAAATTATTAATAAAAAATATATTTAAATAAATTCACAGACACACACAGCACCCCGAGACACACACAGCACCCTCAGACACACACGCAGCAGCCCCACACACACAGCACCCAGATACACACACACAGCACCCCCACACAGACACAGCACCCTCAGACACACGCAGCACCCAGATACACACACAGCGCCCTCAGACCCATGCAGCACCCCCCCACATACACACAGCACCCTCAGACACAGCACCCAGATACACACAGCACCCAGACACACACAGCACCCCGATACACAGCACCCAGACACACACGCAGCACCCTCAGACAGACAGCACCCTCACTCACACAGCACCCACACACAGCACACTCCCACACATATACAGCACACACACACATATATATATATATATCTCTGTAATAAATAAAATAACCCTCAGTGAGTTAGACAAAAAAATTAGAAACCTAGAATGTGACAGCAGATAAAAACACCCTCACACACAGCACCCCTCTTACACACACACACACTGCGCCCCTCACACATACAATACGTCCAAATATATATATATATATATATATATATATATATATATACACACACTACAGCACCCCTCACACGGCACCACTACACACATTATGCTCTAGATACACGCTAGATCCCTTACCCTATATGCACTCTTAATCCTCTACACACACACACACATACACTCCTATAAACACTCTGAGTCCTTTACACACTAGATCTCCTACACACACACACTGCCCCTAGCCACACATATTACACCACAAACACAAATGAAATTGACCTATTTACACAATACCACACCACACTCTACACACGCAATCCCACAAGCAGGCTCCAAACACATGCACCATACGCTTTCCTGGCCCTTTTGTCCTCTGGTATCCCACTTGTGGAGACACCAGAGACAATGTAAAAGCAAACACAGCGCAAGCATGTTATTACATTTGCTTGCGCTGCACAGAACAAATACAGGGCCTTTTTCTAATGCTAGAGCTCTTCAGCAGGGCTCTGCGCATTGAACCTGCTCACTTTGAGAGGGGGCGTGCTTGTCTCTAGCCCCGCCCCCTACTTAGGGGGCCGCTCTGATTGAAAAATGCCCGGGCCTAATTTTTTCCCAGTCCGGCCCTGTATCTATTGATACTTTAATAGACACAGGTTTTGCTTTACATTACATCACATTTGGGGGAACAACACATATTTTGACTGAATACAAACCATATTTTCTATATGTATTTCTTTGTCTAATTAAATGAACAGAAATCTCTGCCCGTAAAGGTGGTATAGGCAGCTCCAAGTTCAGGCTTTGGCAGTGAGGGTTCACTCCATTATCTTGCAAGAAGATAAAAAGATATCTCTGCTCAGTCCTGTCCTGTGCCTCTTCTCGAGGGAGCGTTGCGATCTGCACACATTTTAGGTACATTTTGTGGTGCCTGGGTGGTTCTTAGTGACTCTGAGCTGCCGCTTTTAAAGTGATCTGCACCAGATACTGGGGCAGACTACAATGCCCAGACCATCAGGGATCCAGCAACCCACTGTGCCCTTTGCTGGATCACCAGGGATTACTCCCCCTCCTGCCAAAAGGTAAGCAGGTGCAAATGAAAAGCAGCCACACTAACCTACACACACACAAAACTCCGTCTATTCCACACACAATACTTAACCAGTGTACACACACAGGCACATTCTGCCTCCCCTTACATACAGCTATGAACCTTCTCCACACACAACACTCAGCCACTGCATACATTTTCTCTATGTAGGGGCAGAGTGTTGTGTATAGAGCTATTTACTACACACTAAATCCCTAATTTGGTATACTCATGTGGGATTCCAATCTTTACGGATTTAAATTAGGATGCTATTTAGCAAACAGCGCCCTAATTTGGTATCCTTTATTGATTTGGAACAAAATTAAATCCAGAAAAAAATTTGGAACAAAGCTATATTCAGTTACCATTATTCCCATTGATACCAATTTAGTTTAGTTTAGCAGGTAGCTTCCTAATTTGGTATGCTTAATAGTTTTCCCTCACAAAAGTACCAAATTAGGGAGTATTCCAATAACAAGCTGAACTATAAAACAAAAAGCCCTTTACTAAGTTTGATCTTTCAGTTGTACTTCGTAGATTACTCCCTAATTTTCCTAATTTGGGACCTTCATGAGAGATAACTGTTATTAAGGATACCAAATTAGGGAGCTACC